CCAAGAAGTCTTTTGAAAGAGTAACGAGTAAACAGATGGTGATAGCGTCACTTAAAATATAAACTCCGAGGCAAGAGTTGTGGTGCAACGGGTTACACTGCCGCTTGCAATGCCAGTGTCCCATATTGAAGTGCCAGTTCAAGTCCTAACTATTCCACTTCCCATCCAGCTTCCTGCTGATGTGCCTGGGGAGGCAGCACATGATGGCCCAAATACTTGGGCCCCTGCCACCCACGTGGGAGACCCTGATGGAGTTTCGGGCTCCTGACTTCAGCCTAGCCCAGCCCTGGCTGTTGCAGCCATTTGTTGACTGAACCAGAGGATGGGAGCACTCTCTCTCTCTTTCTCTCTCCCTCCCAGTTCGGGGATGAGATTTAATGTACTTTAGGCACTCCCTCTGGCAGGCATCCTCAACTCTGTTCTTGGAGCACATGCAGTGCCCTTCCTGGGAAAGTGCACCATTTCACTGGAACCAGTGAGGCACCACAGCAGACCTCACTGTCCTGCGGGCTCCACCGTTCCACGGATGTGGCCTTTACCTTCGCTTTCACTGTACGATGTCATCTGAGGAAAAGCAATACCCATTTAGTGTGTGTATAATATTCACAATGTCCTCTTCCGTGATAATTGTGATTACATTATCTGAGCCAGAAAGGCAACACATTAATCTCAAACCTCAAAGTCAAATGATGAGGGGGCGGCTGGTTGACATCACCATCACTGGGACCTTAAGGGGGAAGTGAAAGCTATGGTAATTAATGCAAAATCTTTCTTCTTAGAAAAGATGAGCAAAAAAAAAAAAAAAAACCTGTTGTGAAAAAATTCTCAGCCGTGCAGGTGCTCCCAAGGGCCTGCTCCTTAGCTGCTCTGTATCAGTGTTAACAAGGCTGCAACAGAAAGTCAACAGATCAATGAGCTCTCAGTCGTTTCAGTCAGTTCTCTGCACTTCGGTTGATTCTAAGAACGCAAAGTAGAAAATGATTTCTCTGACTTTTCGTATCAATACTAGCATTCTTCTCAATCAGACTCCTCATCAGCCCACACACTAACTCCATTGACAAGACATACATCATGTCAGATCCTGTGCCAAGCGTACAAAGTTATTAACTCCCGAAGGTTGCACAGAATTGCACCAAATAAGAAATCAGGTGGCCGCGTTCACAGACAATTTCACAGCAATCAATAGTATTCATGTCTACAAAGCATCAACAAAATGCCAGAGGCAGACCAGGGCCCTCTCAGGCAGAGCTGAGGAGATACTTCATCTCACGTGCATTGAAGATTGATTTCCCCTATTAAGTGATTTGCCACAAGAGCAGGAGTCTTTTTGATTTTTGTTCATTTGTTCAGTTGCTTTCATTACAAGCGCTTCAAAGTATTCCACCCTACCTGAGCCAAACATCCAGGAGTGGAGGTGGGACCTGCGAGGTCCTAGAACCCCTGCCTGGAGATGACAATGTGAATGCCATGGGAAAGTGGGGCTTGGACACACACTGGCTACACAGGTCCCTTCCCGGGGGCATCGCTACTGAATGTGGTAGGTGTGGGCCAGAAGGAAGACTGGGGAGGGAACAGCTCCTGCTGCCCATGAGCTCACTGATGCCCTGTATCTTCCAGCCCCCTCTCCAATTCTCTATTTCCCAAATGTCAGTCAAAGTCATTAACTTTTGCTGAGAATCTAAATAGCTCTTCCCAAAGACTGGCTTTTGACATCAGGCAAACTTCACCTTGAACCCTGCAACCAGAGTAAGGTTTAAAACACTGAGAAGATCTCCCAGGGCCACAGCACTGTCAGAGCAGGAGACAGCCATCAGCACACTAAGGTAGACACCATGATGGGCTCCTAGACTCTGGTCCATTCAGCACAAAGTCTACCATCTGCCTACTTCTAATTTCTGGAAAACTCAACCAGGTCCTGTATGTCAGTTCTCATTTTAGTGTTGTTGCTTATTTTCCTTGTTTACCTCTTTATTTCTTGTGAGATCATCTCAAGTTCATTTGCTGCTCCATTTTCCCACACTCCTCTCTTTGAATCCAGTGCCAAGAAACAGATGCACCACTCAGTTGCAAGGACACGACATGCTCAGAGATGAAATCCCAGCTGCAGCCTCAGCCAGACCCTTTGGCAGGGCAGTGCACCCCTGGGCACTGACACAGAAGGGAGGGGCTGGGACCTGAGAGGCCCTGAGAGCACAGGATGGTGGAACACTTGCCCCGCCTGGGTCAGCAACCTCATCAGAGGGCGAGAACAGGATCCATGCTGTGTGTTTCTGGATTGAAACCTGAACATAAAACACCTGCTAAATGTGATGTGGGCAGCCATCCAAAAGCTTGCTAGCCATGTGTCAAGGAGGCCATGGCAGATAGGGCACTCCCACACAGCGCTGGCCAGGGCCAAAACTGACAAAGTCCCTAGGAGGGGCTTTTGACATTGTCAATACCCCCACCAAAGCTGCTGTGAATTAGCCTCCCTATATATGCACAGAAGACTCTGTGTACTTAGACGACCGTGCACTACAGCATGCTTGGCACAGGAAAATATTGGAAATAACCCACATAGCTATGAACACTGAGCAGATTCAATAAGTTAGAATACATCTATACCATGCAATACCATGCAGCAGAAGGAAAAAGGAAAGAAAGAATGAAGGGAGGGAGGAAGAGGAAGTGATCCATGGAAAAGCAAAGTGTGGTATATAATCTACTATCTTTTTACTACAAAGTGGGGTAGGGGCATGGTAGCCATGGAAATGAACCCCTTGGGTCTCCTGCTATTGGAAGTAGGGTTGACTGACCAGTGGTGGTGGGCTGCGGCTGGTCTGGGGTCGGGGAGGGGCCTGCTGAGGATCAGGTGGCTGCAGAGTGCTGTGTCTCCTCATTGTACTGCTCTCCTGGAGGCTGGCTGGGGAGGCTAATGGGGCTGTTTTCCACTGAGCAGATGGGCTCTGGGGCTCCCGGGCTTGGCGGGGGTGCACACATGGGGTGCTTACAGTTTCCCTGTGAGTGAATTGGGAGCCCCTCTCAGCATCTTGGCTTCTGAGCCTTTTCCCCCATTTTTACTGGATGCATTCAATATTTTAATTTCACCCTCTGAATAGGGACTCTGGTCATGTAGATAGACATATGCTTTGTGTGTGTGTGCACAGGAAAATCCCCTCATCTCAGCCTTTCATCCTGGAGCCCACTAGCTCTTCTACAACAGATGAGTAATCTTCTCTTGGAGTTTCTTTGGTTTTTTTATTTGAGAGACCAAAAGGCAGACAGTCAGGCAGAGGGCGAGAACTCCCATCTACCAGTTCATTCTCCAAATGTCTGCAATGGCAGGGGCCACAGCCAGGAGCTGGGAACTCAATCCACATCTCCCACGTGGGTGGTAGGGACCCAAGCACTTGAGTCATCACTGCTGCTTACATTATCATTAGCTGAAGTCCCCATTCCACGCTGTGCAGTAGAACATCAGAACTTCTTACTCCTATCGAACTATGACTTGGTACCTATTTATTAGTCGACCTTTCCCCATTCGGCCCTCCCTCCACAGTCCCCAGCCTCTGACAACTATCAGTATACTCTCAGTGCCTATGAGATCAACTATTTTAGATTCCTGGGAAGCAGAAGGAATCACATGAGAGTGACACACCCACACACCTGCCTTCACCCCACAGGTTGTCTGGTCTGGCTGTGCCCCAGAGCAACAGTGAACAGGAGAGACCCTCCTTTGGAGGAGGAGGTGTTGTGTGCCTTCCTGCTCCCACACATGCCTCATTTCTTTCACATCTTCTCAGGCAGGAGCCCACTGCTGCTCATTCGAATCTTAAAAAAAAAAAAAAAAAAAAAAAAAGGTCTGAAAAACAGATTTTAAGAGTATGTTTATTTGAATGCAAAAAAAAATTGAAATCCATGATTTGTTGTTTTCATAATGCACATTTTCCATGAATTTTCTGAAAAGCCTCTTGTGTACACAGAATTCAAATATGTTTGCATCATAATAAACTTAACATTTTGGATCTATTTCTCCATGGATATTTTGAAGTCCCCTTGTATCACAAACATAACTACGTTCATGACCAGAATGCAAGGAAAAGGGGGGAGAACAAAAAGAAATCTTTGTCTTAATCTCTGGGCTCAGAATTCAAGATGAAGGCTCAGTGAATTGTTTTATTTAAATTACTACACCGCAGAGGACAGTTGGCCGGCAGTTAAGTAGTTGATTGGGACACTACCTCTCCTATCACGGTGGCTGGGTTTCAATGCCTCTCTGCTTCCCATCCACTTTTCTGCTGGTGCACACCCTGGGAGATGGCAGGCACCAGCTCAAGAACTTGGTTCCCAGCCACGTTAGCTGGCTTTGGATTGGCATCAGCTATTGCCGACATTTAAGGAGTGACCTGGAGATGAGAGCTCTCTGTCAGAATAAAAACAAAATTAAATTAAATGTAAAAAGAGTGAGCCTTCTAGAGCTCTGCATTGCATGTAGTTCTTTAAATAAGTAGGGGCTGGCACTGTGGCGTAGTGTATAAAACCGCCACCTACAATGCCAGCATCCCACATGGGCACCAGTTCATGTCCCGGCTGCTCCACTTCATGTCCCGGCTGCTCCACTTTCGATCCAGCTCTCTGCTGTGGCCTGGGAAAGCAGCAGAAGATGGCCCAAGTCCTTGGGCCCCTGCACCTGCATGAGACCCAGAAGAAGCTCCTGGCTCCTGGCTTCAAATCGGTACATCTCCAGCCATTGTAGCCATTTGGGGAGTGAACCAGTGGATGGAAGACCTCTCTCTCTCTCCCTCTCTCTCTCTCTCTCTCTCTCTCTCTCTCTGCCTCTCCTTCTCTCTCTGTGTAACTCTGACTTTCAAATAAATAAATAAATATTTAAAAAATAAAATAAATAAGTAAATAGTTATTTTATAGAGGGAATAGATTGTTCTTATACCAATGTGGCTTGTTCTCATTTTGTAGTCTGCTCCACATCTGTTGTTTCTATGCATTCTCTTGCAGGTGGCCGAGTGACTTTGCCCTTGGATCTCCAGCAGGTGCTGAGGATAAGAAGGTGTTGGATGACTGGATCGAGCTCTCTGCGAGGTCGAGTCCAGGCCCCTGCACAAGCAGCAGAAATGCAGCGCATTCTCAGTGCCTACGAGAACTCCAGTGACACGGCCAGAAACCACTCGGACTGCCCACGGGTGGTCCTGCCCGAGGAGGTGTTTTTCACACTCTCCATGGCTGGGGTGCTGGAGAATCTGGCCGTCCTTCTGGCCGTGGTCAAGAACAAGCATCTCCAATCCCCCATGCACTTTTTCATTTGCAGCCTGGCCATTTCTGACATGCTGGGCAGCCTGTACAAGATCCTGGAAAACATCCTGATCCTGCTCAGAAACACGGGCTACCTCAAACCTCGCGGCGACTTTGAAACGACGGCGGATGACGTCATCGACTCCCTGTTCGTCCTGTCCCTGCTGGGGTCCATCTTCAGCCTGTCTGCGATTGCGGCTGACCGCTACATCACCATCTTCCACTCTCTGCAGTACCACAGCATCGTGACCGTGCGCCGAGCCCTGGTCACGCTCACTGTCCTCTGGGCACTCTGCACGGGGAGCGGCATCACCATGGTGATCTTCTCTCATCACATCCCCACAGTGCTCACCTTCACCTCACTGTTCCCACTCATGCTGGTCTTCATCTTGTGTCTCTACGTGCACATGTTCTTGCTGGCCCGCTCCCACGCCAGGAGGATCTCCACCCTCCCCAGGGCCAACATGCGCGGGGCCATCACCTTGACCATCCTGCTGGGGGTCTTCATCGTCTGCTGGGCCCCCTTCGTCCTTCACGTGCTGCTAATGACATTCTGCCCAGATAATCCTTACTGCGCATGCTACATGTCTCTCTTCCAGGTGAACGGCATGTTGATCATGTGCAATGCCGTCATCGACCCCTTCATTTATGCCTTCCGGAGCCCAGAGCTCAGGGAAGCCTTCAAAAAGATGATCTTCTGCAGAAGGTGCGGGTAGCATTCTTGGTCTCCGGTTCCAGGAGCCATGGGGATAAGCGTGTGAGTGACAGAATGAAGTTAATACTCTTTGAGCACCCAAGCTCCTGACTGTCCTTTTTTACCTCTAATGGGCCTGCAGCTTATCCCACCATCTTTCAGAATATGTAAAACTTTCCCTGAATGCATCAAATGCAAAGATAAGTTTATTTTTCATGCAAAAGAAATATTGAAGCCCCCCAAATTTTACCATAATATGTATTTCTCTTGAAGTTTTGAAGTTTCTGAAGACCGCTTTGCTGTTTATAATAGCTTGGTTCTTCATGGACGGTCTTACTGTTTTTATAACTTAGTATTTTTTATAACTTTATAGCTAGAAAAACACAAGAAGAACAGAATACAAAGGAGATGTATCTTGTGGAGTAAGAAGATGGAGGGGGGATGTCAAGCTTTTGGGTCATGGCCAAAACCAAGACCAGAGCAGCCCAGGGAGCCCAAGGCTGCAATCATCGGACACCTCTGCAGAGACCTGTTGACAGCATCTGCCTCCTCCCCACCCGGCCCAGAGCCTGAAGGCAGAGCCATCCCCAGAGAGCTCTGCCCACCCACCACAAAAAGGGGGCAGACATTGACAAGCCCCCTCCCCCACAGAAATCTAAGGCACAGAATCTGCAAGGTCATCCGTTTGTCACTGCTAAGGATAAAGCTGGAGGAAGCAGCGAATTCTGATCCTAGGCCCTCACTACCTCGGAGAGGGACTGACTTGGAAAGCGTGCAATGAGAGAGACAGAGGAGAAGGTTTCCGAGTGGCTCGGGACCCAACAAGAGGGACAGGGTCTTCTGGAAGAGGCAACACTGGGCCGCGGGGAGAGTTTCCCCAAGATGCGGAGAGGAGCAGGTGGCACCAACAGGTCTGACCGCGTGGTGGAGGGTTGGGTACAACCTGAGTGGCAGAGGGGCAAGCCCGCAGTTGGCAGCACAGCCTGGCAGGCGCAGGCTTCCCGCAGCTTGCAGCCTGCATCCCCAGGGCATCCAGGGCAGGTCCTCTCAGCCTTTGGACTGGAGAAATTCTTACGGGGTCTTCCCCTCCACCCCATGGACTGTATTTTTATAACATGAACCTGAATTCATGACTGTATAAAATACCATGTATAGGTTCATTTTCCTTAAAAATCTAAAGCAAATGCTATCAATCATATCAAAGTGGCATTTCTACCACCGAAAGAATAACGTAGAGCACATTTTTCTGGAATTACACTGAGTATTAAACTGAGTATTCTCCATAAAAGGTAGCCTTGTTTTATAGTGCACTGTTCTATGAGGCTGTAGAGAGAGATGGTGCAATTCATCCCCCATCACAGATACTCCCACACAGCCCTCCCTGGGGAACCTTCCTGCCTGTCGCAGCCTTGCCTCTCCTCTCCGCATTCATGCTCTCAGCCATCACTCAGGCCTGGCATCAGAGGCTATCACCCAGAGGCTACTTCCGCAAGCCACATTTAGTCCAGGATGCCATGATCTGACAGCAGGTGAAGCAAGAGTAAAGTCCAAGTGCTGGTGCAGACACACTGCACTCCAGATCCTCAGCTGCACTCGTGCCACAGCAGGGTCTTCAGTACCTAACTTCACAGAGAACTCACGGACAACAGGAGCAGATGTGCATTTTACGTAAGAAAGATCAATAAGGCCCAGGCTGTCCCCATAATGATGACTCCAATTCTGTATCAAATTATTACATTTTTAAGCTGCTTTGTGGGTGCTCTCAGTTCGTGTTCAGTTTTGTGGGTGACCTAGTTTGAGACCCCACCTGGTTTCATCTGACCTTTCAAGTAGGGGAGAGAGAATGTAGTGAGAAACATGTCTCCCCTGGTTTCAAGACAGGACCAAGGCCTCATGGACTACTCTGGCTCCTCAGAGTAGTAGAAATACGAGGACATCTGGCTTCCATTGCCAGCCCTCCTACTTAAAAGCTCTGAGTCCTTGGACAAGGTTCCGAGCGTGGGTTTCCTCCTGTATACTAGGGAGACAACCACAGAACCTTCCTCTTGGGTTTAATCTCAGGATTAATGCCTTGAGAGCACTGCTTGCCCATTAAACATGCAGTTAAGTATCGAGTGTTTCTGTGGGCATCCTCAAATGAGGCCCCAGGCTGAACAGACTCTGTTGGCCAATGATCTCAAAGCTCTGTCTCAGGCATGGGCATTGTAGTACAGTAGGTTATGCCACTCCTGTGATGCTGGCCTCCCATATCAGAGGGCTGTTTTGAGTCCTGGCTGCTCCACTCCCAATACAGCTTTCTGCTAATGTACCTGGGAAAGCAGTAGAAGATTGCTCTAGTGCTTGCCACCCACATGGATGACCTGGATGGAGTTCCTGACTCCTGGATTCAGCCTGACCATTTGGGTAGTGAGCCAGCAGATGGAAGATTCTCTCTCTCTCTCTCTCTGCATTTCATTTTTTTAAAAAAGATTTATTTATTTCAAAGGCAGAGTTACAGAGAGACAGAAAGAGAGAGAGAGATCTTCCATCTGCTTGTTCACTCCCCAAATGGCTACAATGGCCAAGGCTGGGCCAGTCCAAAGCCAGGAGCCAGGAGCTTCATCCAGATCTCCTACATGGGTAGCAATGGCCCAAGTACCTGGACCATCTTCCTCTGCCTTCCCAGGCACATTAGCAGGGAACTGGATCCAAAATGGAGCAGCCAGGATTTGAACCAGCGCCCATATGGGATGCCAACATTGCAGGCCACAGCTTTACCTGCTGTGCCAACCCCTGTCACTGTGCATTTCAAATACAGCTTTTAAAACAAAATCTCTGCCTCCACCTCCATAGCCCTGGTCACTATCTGCAGAAGCCACTCCCTAAAGCAGAATAAGGACAGGAAGTCATGGGAGCTGCAATGAGTGTGAATCTCAACATGCAGCCTGCTTTCAAGACGTGCACTGTTTGCTTAAATTTCATTCATCAAAAAGGTAATATGAGGCGGCGCCGCGGCTCACTAGGCTAATACTCCGCCTTGCGGCGCCGGCACACCGGGTTCTAGTCCCGGTCGGGGCGCTGGATTCTGTCCCGGTTGCCCCTCTTCCAGGCCAGCTCTCTGCTGTGGCCCGGGAGTGCAGTGGAGGATGGCCCAAGTGCTTGGGCCCTGTACCCCATGGGAGACCAGGATAAGTACCTGGCTCCTGTCATCAGATCAGCGCGGAACGCGCTGGCCGCAGCAGCCATCGGAGGGTGAACCAACGGCAAAGGAAGACCTTTCTCGCTGTCTCTCTCTCACTGTCCACTCTGCCTGTCAAAAAAAAAAAAAAAAAAAAGGTAACATGAGGGTACTTCAAAAGCTTCATGGAAACCAGAATTAAAAGATAAATATATTTTGGTGCCAAAAATGACATGTATGCATACAAACTTCATGAAAATGCCAATTATGAAAAAGCTACACGTGGATTTCAAAGTTATTTTTACACCTACATAAATTTATCTTTTAATTCCATTTTCTAAGAACTTTTCTGAAGTGTCCTCATATATCACACAGTTAAATATGTATATGTGTATGTGTATGTATATGTATATATATGGGGAAGGCAATTGGCCTAGCATTTAAGATGCCAGCTCATATGCCCACATCTCAATCAAAGTGCCTGGCTTCAATTCCCAGCTTCAGCTCTCTGTTACAACTTTCTTCTAGTGTCAACCCTGGGAGGCATCAGGTGGTGACTCAAGTGGCTGGATTCCTGCCATCCACATGGGAGATCTGGATTGAGTTCTTGACTGCTGGCTTCAATCTGGCCCAGCTCCAGTTCTTATAAGCATTTGGGGAAATGAATCAGCAGACAGTAAATTCTCTCTCTCTCTTCCTCATTCTCTCTCTCTCTCTCAAATAAAAAGAATTAAATACAAATAAAATGCACACAATGTGAAAAGTCCCTCCAACAGCTGTTCCTCATCTATATCATTCCCCATTCTCATCTCAAGTTCTCATTTTCCATTTCCCACAGATAATATGTTCATGTACTTCCAGACTCTGTGCACATGTAAGAAAGTATAGAAAATGGTTCTTATTGTACCTTTTTTTTACACAAAAGATATGCACCTTTCTTTTTCACTTCCCAATATATCTTGGAATTTGTTCTACATCAGTAAGCAGAGAATTTCCTCATTCTTTTGTACAGTGGCACAATACCCTCTTGAACAATGCACCAAATTTATTCAACCACTGCCCTATTACAAAGTTTGAAAAAGCAGTCCACAGGTATCTTTTTTTTTTTTTTTTTTAACAGGCAGAGTGGACAGTGAGA